AACGCCCCACACCTGACCTTGCTCACCGCGATCTCGACAACGCTTGGCAACAGTTGCAACAACTAGATGGTGTAGAGCGGCTCTATGCGGAATGGCACAACGCCCAAGCTCACTACCAATTGCTGATCGGCGAACAAGATAAAGCGGCCGATCACCTGTGGCAAGCATGGCAATATGCCCAAGAAGCCGGCGATCTCGCCCATAGTAGCCGCATCACCCATAATTTGGGCACCCATTATTGCCGCCAAAATAAATATCAATTGGCCAAAAACTATTACGAGACGAGCAAGCAACTCGCCCACCAAATTGGGGACGCTCGTATGGAGGCGTTCAATGAAAAAGGGTTAGGTTATTGCGCTTTTGGTTGTCAATTGTGGGATGAATCGGTTGCCTATTACCAACAAGCGTATCGCTATTTTTATGAAAATGAAGATATTCGTCTGCAAGCCTCACTCTGTTACGATTTGGCCGAAGCCTATTTGTCTAAAGGGGATTTGTTCATGGCCAAGCAATTTCAGCAAAAGGGGATCGAATTAGCGACCAGTTTGGGGGATGAACGACTTGTCACAAGGTTGCAAACATTGTCTGATCTCTTTCCTGAATTAGGGACAGAACTCAATGATCGCCAAGGGCGTCTTTTGGTTTGGTTGCGCCAAAATCCCTCGGTGACGAACCAGCAATATCGCACCCTCAATGATTGCAGTAAGAAATCGGCCGAAAATGACCTCGCCCAACTCGTCACCCTCCAATTGTTAGAGCGTGTCGGTCAAGGTCGTGCCACTCACTATCGCCTTCCCCCTTATCGGTTGTTATAATCAGCCATAACGAATCCCAACCGTTGGGGTTGTTTATGCCAACACACCATCCCCCTTTGACGGATGAGGAAATTGCCCACTGATGAAAACCATCATAAAAAGGTATCCAAACCGCAAATTGTATAACACAGAAGCCAAGCGTTACATCACCCTCGATGGCATCGCCGACTTAATTCAACACGGTCAAGATATCCAAATTATCGATCACACCTCCGGCGAAGATTTGACGACCACGACCCTGACCCAGATCATTTTTGAGCAACAAAAAAAGGACGAAGGTTTCCTCTCTCAACCCTTCCTCACCTCTCTGATTCGAGCGGGTGAAAGTCGCCTCTATTCGTTGTGGCGTAGTGTGGAAGGAGGGCGGGCTTTTGTGGAGGCGGAAATTGAGCGGCGTGTGCAGGAGTTGATCAATCGGGGTGAAATTCAGGGAGAGGAAGGGAAAGAGATGAAGCGCAAATTGTTGGGCTGGCGTTGGCACGATCTCCCTGTCGTCAATACGGTGGAGCAGGCGTGGCAACGCTACAATTTGCCTTCTACCGAAGAGGTCAAAGAGTTGTTGGGGCAACCGTTCGACGCGCTTTCTCATAAATTGAACGAGGTCTTGCACCCCACGCCCCCCGTCCCGCCTTCGGCCGATTCGACACCCCCACCTCCTGCCAATGACGACCCTACGCTATGAGTTTTCGGCCGATTATCCCGTCACCCCCCTGAAATTGTGGGGCTATCTCACTGATCCCGTCTCTTTGAGCCAATTCAGCCCCGCCATCACCCATTACGAACCCCTGCCAACAGAAAATAGTTATCGGCTCTGGGTACGCCCTTTGCCACAACTCGCCCCGTTGCCCGTTGTGGTCAACTGGTGTGATCTTCAGCCCCCCTCTCGCTGGCGTTGGGTTGGCACCACACAATGGGAAACGATCTCGGCCGAATTGCAAGCCAGTTTTGAGCTAGAAGGAGAAACGCAAACGACATTGCACTTTTCGGCCGAACTTCTTCTCACCCCCCCAAAACCGCCCATCCCGATTCCCCTCATTCACACCACCATTCGCCAATTCTTGCAAACTTTTTCCGCCGACTGCATCAAGC